TATTTTTTTTAACCTCATTCCCGATAACCCGGCATTTTCACAAACTCGGCCACCCTTCGGTCCACATTAGGCCGAGTTTTCGAGGTTCTACTGTAGTAAATTTGTATACCTTTTCGTGAAGAATTGTGGGGAAAAGATAAAAGTAAGTTTAGTTTTATTCGTATACGTCAACGCGACATGGCAAAAGCGAAATAGGGAATGCAGAGTGGTGTTTCTATGAGTAAGTGGCTCTTGTTCGGATGATACAATCGTGAAGTAAACCCGGGACACTTTACGTGGCTAACCCATTGACAACGCGCTAATCCACGATACGAGTTTTGAAATTAACTCTATTTCAAACTCTATAACGTAATTATAAGTAAACGAGATGTTTTCGTAAAATACATATAATTTAACACGTAAATAAATGGCAGTTTTCTATAAAAAGTTCTCTTGGAAGGCATTTTCTTGGCAGAAGGCGTTTCCTTAGCTCATGTCTTCAATCTAACTCAATGACAATATCCCAGGGAAATGATGCTTCCTTGCATACTTTAACAGAGAAACTGGGAACTATTTAAGATGTTCACGAATGATTTCTTTAAGAAAACAATAGTTTTAACAATAAATAGAATTACAATCTGCAAAACAATTCATTGATACAAAACCCACACACAAGTATCCATTGATTAACAATATTATATAATTCCTCGATGCTATCGTGTATTCGCGTTAATCAAATACAGTGATACTTCGATACTCCACCGAACAATAAACACCCTTTAGAACAAAATTTCGTTTAATATATGTATTTCTTAATTCTGAATATATTGTTTCATTCGGTACAATAACACAATCACCATACCAAAACACTCAATTTGCTTTTTACACGTGTTTTTATAATCAAATCTTAATTTCATTGTAATAGTAAATAACAATATTTCCTTTCTTTTAGAGAAAACTGCTTTACTTTCCTGGTATATTCCAGAATTTTACACTTTTGGAATAAGGGGACCTTGAAACATCGACAATTGCAAAATCATTCGGGTTTTCTTTTCTGTATGTTACTGTGTAGGTTCGACACGATTTTGCTCACCCTCTTTGAAGCTTAATAACTATTGTTCTTTTTATCGTAAACTTCTGAAACCTCGCAAGAAAGTTTCTATATTAGGGGCATTGATGCGAATACATTTTGGTGAGTGAAGTTCGAGCGTATGGAAAGATAATAAAAATTAAACTTAATGATGATTTTACTGGTTATTACCATTTACAATTTTTATAAAATAATAGTTTATAATTTATAATACAGTAGACCCCTATAACACGGGTTCATATAATATGGATTCGTATAACACGGCAAAAAAAACTGCGATCGTGTTGGTATAAACACGCTAAAAGAAAATCGTATAATACGGTAAAACGTCATCGCCGACTCGTGTCGCCACAGGATTGGTCGAATCTAGACCAATAGCAAATAGTGAACAAATCGTTGAGTTTAAACGAGCAGCGGACCTACTAAAACCATTTATTATTTAACGGCCATAGAAAAAATATTTATATTAATGATGTTTCCAAAGTTCAGCGAATTTTTCGCAGAAAAATAACCTATTAGGAAACACGCGCACGCTGTTCGATGAGCCACTCTGCGACGAAAACAAACTTAAGCATTGGCGTCGTCGAACGGTTCACACTCGGTAAGTAATCCTACAATTTTTTGTTTATAGCATAGTTTATATGGATTATTCCCCAAAAAATTATATGTGTTTTGGAAATGTTGAGTCGAATTAGTCTGGAATCGATTAATTTAATGGAAGAAAATTTTTCAAATAGCCGTAGTCCCTAAACTGCACACGTGCAGGGCTGTGATTGGCTCATATATTTAAGTGACTCGTAAAACACTAATTTATATAAAACGGAACGTACGTACCACCGTGTTATAGAGGGCCTACTGTAGTTCGTTTTTTAAATAGTTAAAAATATGAAAAAATTTATAATAAAATATGATAATGTATACGAGAAGTTAAGCAACTCGTTATTGGATTTTTTTAATAGGCCTGCCACTGTTATCAGATTGATTATATGACATGACCTAACATTGGTGGTTGCTCTCGGGTTCACGCTCTCGACAAACTGATTGCTGACGTGCAGTTTTCCGGGATTTCTTCACTTAACACCTAAATTTGGTCAGTTTTCTATAAAAACTCTTTCTGTGAGGCATTTTCTTAGCAAATCGTCTGCATATTGTCTTACCTGAACTCATCAATTCAGCCTAAATCGATGTAATCAACCCGAACCTGCTTTATGTGGCATTAGTAAAAAAAATTTAATAAACAATAAAATCATATTAAAATTTATTCGAATATAATTAAATTTTCTTGATACCAAATTTTTCTTATGATTTTCCATCATAGTTTCATTATTTAATATTAATCTGTTCTCTTAATGTTTGACGAAACGGATAATAATGAATTAATGTATATAATATGGCAACTAAACACATAGACAATGGGCCAGGTTGAATAAAAAGTAGTAAATGCTCAAAAGTAATTAGTAAAAGTACTTACTGTAAGTAAAAGCTTCGAAGTAAAAGTACTTACTTTTTTGTGTGTGAATGAAAGTTTACTTTTACTTATTAGTAAATGCTTACACTTTTAAGTAAATACAGGCAACACTTACTACTATTAACACTATCAAAATCGCGTCGCCATGTGAAGAATGAAGCCAACAGATCTTTGCGAATGTTTTAAAAAATATATAGAATGTTATTAAACAAGTCACAGGTTCCCGCTATTAAAAGAAGAAAAGAAATCGCCCTTCAACAAATGATTAAAGAACTGAAGATACATTGAAATGAATAAGAAACAACTGATGAAAAAGCTGAACAACATGAAAACCGATTTAAAAAAGAAAATAGATCTGAAACAGTCTGGGAATAACCCGATTGTACTAAAAGAATGGGAAAAGTTGATTTTTGATTTGCTGGATGGAGAGGCGAACCCGACTGTAAATTGTATTGCGTATAAGTAAACAATAAAGTTATGAATTTGTCGTGATTTAGCATAACAAATCATCTGTCAATAAAGGCGTTTTTGCTGTGTTACTTTCGACTAGCAAATAATAATTATTTTTTTAAATTATACGTACACAGTCTGTAGGCTTATCGCCAAGCCCCAGCAGTCAAAACCTAAGCGAATTTGATAGTGAGAAAAATCCTGGATCAGAATTGTATCTTAAAAATATCATCATTTTAATTTTGTAGGAAACGGCACCTCCCCTTGTATCATTTTTAGAACCAAGAAAGTAGTTGGCGATCCCGTTTTCGTCATCAAATCGATATAATTTCCTGAAATCGGCAGTTAACGTATTGTTTCTGGGTCTATACTGCTTACTTTTTATTGACAACATTGTTGGATACAACAAAGCCATTTTCTCTATGTTGACAATCGAAAATATATAAATATGAAACCTTTTACATGTGTTTTAAAGGTAGCTGTAGAGCTAACTTCAATGTTTTGAAGCATTTACTTAAAAAAAAAAAAGCTTTTACTTATTTTTATTCACAGATTTATAAGCATTTACTAGTCTTATAATCGAAGTGAATAAAACCAAGCTTTTACTACCTTTTACTAACTTTAATTCATCAAACTTATAGTAAACACTAGAAAAATTGTAGTAAAAGTATTTACTACTTTTTATTTAACCGGCTCAATCCGTCAGTGGTATATCTATATACAGCACTTTCTACGTGGACAATACTTACGTTTCTCATCGAGTGATTTCTTTATTAAAACCATAAATAGAATTATAAATTGAAAAATAATTCGTTGTTATAGAATCAGTAAGCGGTTAAGTAAGAAACTGCGATTTTCAAAAGACTGAATTTCAAAATACGGCCAAACTTCGAATCGCTATCAAAAATTTGCTGTTTTATGTCATGATAAATTTGCATTTTCAGACGATTGAAATATTCAATATCTGTCACAAATAGAATTCAATACAACAGGTGAAAAACTAAAATCTAGAATTAGCCGAATGTACTTCTATACATACAAAAATAATCAACAAAAGCTGAAATAAATGAAGGAGTTATGCCAAGTGTTGATTATTACGCTGCATTGCGGTTTTTAAAAACAAATATAAAGACACAACACGGTTTCGAAATATGGAATTTACAATTCTTTATTATTTATTTTGATATAATGTATAATTTTATGCTTATTTATCGAATTATATCAAATTTTATATCTATATGAGATGAAATCTTAAAGATTTATTACACTTACTGTCATAGTAATTATTTATATTGATTTTCGAATAGAATATACAAGGCTACTGTGTAGATCAAAAGACATTCAACTCAGTGAAGACTCAAGTGTGCAGCATTACTAATAACTTCATTAGAAATGTATCTGTTATTTGCCTTGTTTACGGTGTCTTTTGCCAGATACGGTAACATTTTTCTTCTTTGTAATTTAACATTTATGTTTAAAATTTTACATTCAAAACATTGCGACATTTTTACAATTTTCTAGTCGACCTTCCATCCAAGACTTTACAAAATCCTCATCTTTTCCAAGGAGACATTATCGGAATTCGAAACAGAAATGTAAGTTTGTTTTTTTCAACGTTTAGTTAGTTAAATTAATTTATATTTAAATTTAGGTGAGAAATGCCATAGCGGATCTTTCACTTCGCTGGGAAAGAGGAATAGTGTATTATACTATCCACCCATCTTTAGGTTATTTTACTTAAACATATTTCGAACTTGAAATCAATACTATTATTAATTTTATTTATTTTTTATAATAGAAAGTATTACCCATTTAATCACAGAATCAATGAATCACATAAATAATGCAACAGGAGGATGCATCACTTTTAAACAAAGACAAAATGAACCAGATTATATCTTATTCATTAAGGGAGACAGGTAAAATTTTCTCTACTAATTAAAATTTTTATTTATTTTATAATATTCTTACACTTAATTTAGTTGTTCCTCTTATGTTGGTCGAGTTAAAGGTGAACAATATATAATTCTCAAAAAGAGATGTGAATACGTAGGTACTATTGTGCATGAAATTGTTCACGCGCTAGGCTTCTATCACGAACAGAATCGACCTGATAGAGACAATTACCTCATTATACATTGGGAGAACATTAAAGAAGGTAAGTTATCATTAATTGATATTGTCGTTTAGTTTGTAAAAATAATACAAATTTCTATATTGTTAGGAGAGGAAGTGAATTTTGAACGTCTTTCACCAGACAAAATTACTATTTATAACGATTTTGATTACGAATCTATCATGCTTTATGGAAATTACGTATTTTCTAAGGATGGGAAGTCGATGACCATAGAAGCTAAATCTGGAGTAGAGTTGCTACATCCGTATATAAAGGGTGGTTTATCTCCAAGTGATGTTTACAGAATTAAAAAGTTGTACGAATGTGAATAAATCACAAATATATTAAATTGTCGTGCCATAATTTGTTATGAAATAANAAATGTATCTCTTATTTGCTTTGTTTACGGTGTCTTTTGCCAGATACGGTAACATTTTTTTTCTTTATAATTTAACATTTATGTTTAAAATTTTACATTCAAAACAATGCGATATTTTTACAATTTTCTAGTTGACCTTCCATCTAAGGCTTTACAAAATCCTCACCTTTTCCAAGGAGACATTATTGGAATTCGAAACAGAAATGTAAGTTTGTTTTTTTTTCAACGCTTAATTAATTAAATTAATTTACATTTAAATTTAGGTGAGAAATGCCATAACGGATCTTTCGCTTCGCTGGGAAAGAGGAATAGTGTATTATACTATCCACCCATCTTTAGGTTACTTAAACATATTTCGAACTTGACAACAATAAATAATTTTATTCATTTAATTTAATATTTTTATAATAGAAAATATAACTGATTTAATCACAGAAGCAATGAATCACGTAAATAATGCAACAGGAGGATGCATCACTTTCAAACAAAGACAATATGAACCAGATTATATCTTATTTATTAAAGGAGACGGGTAAATTTTTCACTACCGATTAAAATATGTTTTATTTATTTTATAATATTCTTACACTTAATTCAGATGTGCCTCTCGTGTTGGTCGCGTTAAATCTGAACAATATATATTTCTCGGAAAGGGATGTGAATACGTAGGTACTATTGTGCATGAAATTTGTCACGCGCTCGGATTCTATCACGAACAGAATCGATCTGATAGAGACAATTATCTCATTATACATNAAACTTCGAATCGCTATCAAAATTTGCTGTTTTATGTCATGATAAATTTGCATTTTCAGACGATTGAAATATTCAATATCTGTCACAAATAGAATTCAATACAACAGGTGAAAAACTAAAATCTAGAATTAGCCGAATGTACTTCTATACATACAAAAATAATCAACAAAAGCTGAAATAAATGAAGGAGTTATGCCAAGTGTTGATTATTACGCTGCATTGCGGTTTTTAAAAACAAATATAAAGACACAACACGGTTTCGAAATATGGAATTTACAATTCTTTATTATTTATTTTGATATAATGTATAATTTTATGCTTATTTATCGAATTATATCAAATTTTATATCTATATGAGATGAAATCTTAAAGATTTATTACACTTACTGTCATAGTAATTATTTATATTGATTTTCGAATAGAATATACAAGGCTACTGTGTAGATCAAAAGACATTCAACTCAGTGAAGACTCAAGTGTGCAGCATTACTAATAACTTCATTAGAAATGTATCTGTTATTTGCCTTGTTTACGGTGTCTTTTGCCAGATACGGTAACATTTTTCTTCTTTGTAATTTAACATTTATGTTTAAAATTTTACATTCAAAACATTGCGACATTTTTACAATTTTCTAGTCGACCTTCCATCCAAGACTTTACAAAATCCTCATCTTTTCCAAGGAGACATTATCGGAATTCGAAACAGAAATGTAAGTTTGTTTTTTTCAACGTTTAGTTAGTTAAATTAATTTATATTTAAATTTAGGTGAGAAATGCCATAGCGGATCTTTCACTTCGCTGGGAAAGAGGAATAGTGTATTATACTATCCACCCATCTTTAGGTTATTTTACTTAAACATATTTCGAACTTGAAATCAATACTATTATTAATTTTATTTATTTTTTATAATAGAAAGTATTACCCATTTAATCACAGAATCAATGAATCACATAAATAATGCAACAGGAGGATGCATCACTTTTAAACAAAGACAAAATGAACCAGATTATATCTTATTCATTAAGGGAGACAGGTAAAATTTTCTCTACTAATTAAAATTTTTATTTATTTTATAATATTCTTACACTTAATTTAGTTGTTCCTCTTATGTTGGTCGAGTTAAAGGTGAACAATATATAATTCTCAAAAAGAGATGTGAATACGTAGGTACTATTGTGCATGAAATTGTTCACGCGCTAGGCTTCTATCACGAACAGAATCGACCTGATAGAGACAATTACCTCATTATACATTGGGAGAACATTAAAGAAGGTAAGTTATCATTAATTGATATTGTCGTTTAGTTTGTAAAAATAATACAAATTTCTATATTGTTAGGAGAGGAAGTGAATTTTGAACGTCTTTCACCAGACAAAATTACTATTTATAACGATTTTGATTACGAATCTATCATGCTTTATGGAAATTACGTATTTTCTAAGGATGGGAAGTCGATGACCATAGAAGCTAAATCTGGAGTAGAGTTGCTACATCCGTATATAAAGGGTGGTTTATCTCCAAGTGATGTTTACAGAATTAAAAAGTTGTACGAATGTGAATAAATCACAAATATATTAAATTGTCGTGCCATAATTTGTTATGAAATAATTATAGTAACTAAAATTTGAAGAAAATAAATTATTGTAATAATGTTTATGTATATCTTGATTATTTTTCTACTGTAGAATCCGTTTTAACACGTCATATGACCCTCTAGGAAAATATCGATTTAACTAGTGATAAGAGATATATGGCAGCATTATTTTTGGTATTTTTAAATTTATTATATTTATTTAAAAATTATGTTTGAATATTCATATACATATGTAATTCATACGTATATACGTTTCTTATTAAACATTATCTCAACCCGAGGAGAAATACAGGCTTTGGCGCTGTCGAAAAGTAGTAAATCACGTAACCAACTTAGTGCTACTAATCTATCTAGCAGTATAATGTGGTGTTACAGTAAATATTCTAGAAAAATTACTTATACAAAAATATATCGTATCATATTTTGCATTTCGCTTAAACTTCTCACACTAATATAGAGTGAAATTTTACTTTTACACTCCACATGTTTCGGCGAATTATGGATATTTTCTATCTGTTATTGTGGCTTGTCTTACCACATAATTCCATCCGTTTGACAGTTTACCGTCATTAATAATCGAATGTTTTGACTAAGTTTGTAACATAAGTGCAAACATAGAAATGACTGTTGAATTAGACTAATATTTGATCGATCTTATCTATCGGAGTATCACGAGAAACAGGATGTGTGGGGGTATATCCCACTTCTGAATTACTGTATAATTAAGTTAACAGGCTAATTAGCTCTAATTAACCTCTCCAGATTGTCACATGCAATCAATTTTAGATAATATTTGTTATAGAAATAATAAAACAAAAAGAAACAACAGAAGAAAAGAAGTAGTATAGTCATTTGATTGCAGTTGCGGACAAAGAAAAACATATATAGGAGAAACAAAAAGAAAATTAAACATTCGTTTAAAGGTACACATTAGAGCCATCAAAGGAAATTACGCAAATACGGCAGTAGTTGAATACTGCAATGAAAAAGGGTGTAAAATAGATTTAAATACGGTTGAAACAGAGAAATAATTTAAAAAGACAACTACATGAACATGTTTACATAAAAAGACAAAACAATAAAATCAAAAATAACTTAGGAAGAGAAATCCACTAATTATGGAACAGTATTATCGACTTGAAGAGTGACAGGTGGAGGAATTTATAAAGGGAATGGTCTTAACGATAAGGTAAATACAAACATCGGCAAGAGAAGGATATGTTCGTTTAGGAAAATGTTTAAACCACCTATTTTAATTGATTTATATAAATTTCGATGTAATTAACCACAAAAAATTTGTCATTTTAATTTGTAATATTATCCAGAAAAACTTTTAGAATAATGTCGTGATTTTATAAAAATCTTATTTTAGCACCTCCTTGGTACTAAAATAAACCTGCTGAGGAGGGAACTTAAGGTCCGAAACACAAATATTATGTGTACAGGTATATTACCAGGTGAACAATAAAAATTGTTTTTTCTCATTAAGTTTTCCTTAATTCGATAAAACCGAACACCAGTACAATAAATCCTAATAATAACAGTTTTAGTAGACTTTTATACACGGTGGTTTTTTTATCTTGAGACAATGAAATAACTTAATTGAATCTCATTATTTTGGAAAATTGTATAGACAAAAGTTGTAGGGTTTCGAAGGGCCAATCAATTGATGACCTTGGATGTGACCTTGACCTTGGTTGTGACCTTGACCTTGGCCTTCAATGTCGTTTGAGGGTCAAGTCTGTTTTTCAATGAGAACACATATTTTTAACCCCCGCAATAGAAAGAGCAAGAAATTTCACAACTGAATATATCTTTGACCTTATGGTCTAGATCAGGGGTCGCCAAACGTTTTTAACCATCGACCCCCAACCACTTTCCAAAGCCTCACTTGACCCCACCGTAAAGTTTTATTACAAGTGTATGTGTATGAGGAAATAAAAAAAAAAGTTGTGACCCCTTAGCCGCATCGACCTCCCAATGATGTTGCATCGACCCCTGGGGGTCGATATCGACCACTTTGGCGACTCCTGGTCTAGATCAAAGGTGAAGATTATTTTAAGGTTTAAATTATAAGCTTTTCCTAATAGGAAGCCATACTTTTTTATTACTGGAATAGGCAGGGAGGTAAAAGTTACATTTACGTGGAAAGAGTGGAAAATTTCACAATCAGCCATGACCCTGAGTACCCCAAATTTGACCTCTGAAGGTCATCTTAAACGTAATAATTTTAAGCGTAGCTCAACAAATGCATCGAAGTGGAAGGGCATCATTTTAAACATTTGTTATAAAATTTTCCCCAAAACCAATATCTCAAGCAATGGTGAGAAGTAAAGTGACTCACCGAAAACAAGCACTGCGATAGTGAGCGGCAAGGGGACTTACTGAAAATAAGCATCTCAAAGGGAGCAGAAATCTACTACATTCACATCGTTACTCCTGGGTAGTGCTAATAGTAGTGAATGCTTTTAAAAGTCAAAGAAATAAGGTCATAAAAAAATATAAGTTTTACCTCCCTGTCTATTCCAGTAATAAAAAGGTATGGTTTCCCATTAGAAAAAGCTTATAATTTAAACCTTAAAATAATCTTGACCTTTGACCTAGACCATAAAGTCAAAGATATAACCATTTGTAAAATTTCCCGCTCTTTCCATTGCCGGGGTCAAAAATATGCGCTCCCATTGAAAAAAACAGACTTTACCCTCAAATGACCTCGAAGATCAAGGTCACATCCAAGATCACCAATTGATTGGCCCTTCAAAACCTCACAACTTTCGTCTATATTTTTTCCCAAAATAATGAAATCCAATTAAGTTATTTCATTGTCTCAAGATAAAAAAACACCCTGTATAATAAAAAACACTACAATATCTTAGCACTTTGAAAAATTTTAAATATTCCGTAAATCAGTATATATCTGTTACTGTAAATGCTCGAACTATGGTAAATCCTAAGATCTTCCAGTAAAACCTAAGATTTACCAAATCTTTGCGGTAAAAGTCCTAAATGTTCTGTGATCATCGTTAATTTCGAACTTTTATCAGCATTTACTCGGTATATTTTAGGTTTTACCTCAGAGACATGGTAAATGTTGAAAAAATAATTCCCGCTTCCCTCACCCCACCGCGCCGCTGCCTTCGCTCGCCGCATTCCATCGTTTGACACGTTAGAACACGCACGTTAATTCTAATCTTGTTTGAGATTTCTGTCTAAAAGCTGCAAAGAACATGAAAATGAAACAAGCTGTTCATTACAGGCATATAAAGCGTTACGAAATTTCGACTATAGGCGGCAAAGAAAAACTAATTGCGCCTATGAAGGAGGAGGATGGAGAAATAAGGTATTACATTTGTTACGAGAACTTATTCGACATTCTCGAAGAAACGCATGTTGCTGTTGGCCACGGTGGAAATACACGGATGCTTAAGGAACGTAACCGCAAGTATAAAAATGTAACAGTTGAGGCTACTATGACATGTTTGAAGCTATGTCAACTTTGCCAAAAGAAACAGAAGACTTTGAAAAAGGGCATTGTCGTCAGACCTATACTTCACAGTGAAATGAACTCACGCTGTCAGGTTGATCTAGTACATCTACAAACTACCCCAGATGGAAATTATAAATTTATTTTAGTTTACCAAGACCATCTTATCAAATATGTGATCCTTCGTGCGCTTCAAACTATACGCGCCGTAGAAGTTGCACACCATCTTTTGGATATTTTCATTACTTTTGGAGCGCCGAGCATCCTTTATTCCGATAATGGTCGAGAATTCTTTAACCAAGTTATTGACAGTTTGTGCTCCATGTGGCCGGATGTAAAAATCGTACATAGAATGGCAAGACATAGCCAAAGTGAAGGATCAGTGGAGCGTGCTAATCAAGACATAGAAAATATGTTGAGCACGTGGATGGAAACCAATCAGTTATCAAAGTGGTCAAAGGGTTTAAGATTCATCCAGGCGATGAAAAATAGAGAATATCACGAGGGAATCAAATGTTCTCCCTATGGAGCAATGTTTGGCTGTCCAATGAAAATAAGCCTTGCAACTTCAGCAATTCCTAGTGATGTGATTAGAGTTATAAAATCTGAAGAAGATTTAGAGAAGTTATTGCATTCGCGTGACAATACGGAACAAAATAATGACGTCGAAAATGCAATCGAACAGGACAAGGAAGAAAGCATTGTTAAAAATGAGTCAGAAGGGGATATAGACAATAGCACTGTCAACGATAAAACACAAGAAGATGAAATGATTATTACTGAGAAGATGAAGGCGAAGCAAAGAACCGATGATTCCAATGTAAAGATTCAGAGAGATACCGATTCAGAGACAGAAAACACGATTGAGTCTCAGGAAGTTCTTGTAACAATAGAGCCAATACCAAAAAAGTTCGAATCTGTAGTGACAATAAGAAACAACGCAAAATTGAGTTTGGAGAAACGAGCTGAGAAAAAGAAAGCCACGTCTGTTGATAAATATCCAAGTGTGAAAATTGGCCAAAATGTAAGACTGAAAGTGCCCGAAATTGGCAAAACTAAAACCGACCCGAAAAGCGTTATTGCAGTTGTAATAGATGTAAAGGACAACGAGTTTTACCAACTAGGTATCAAAATTGGAGTGCTAAAGCAGCTTTATACACAAAATTAATTTACCTCATGTCTTGAAGACTTTATGAAGATAGAAGAAGTTGTTAAAGATAAAGAAGTGAGTCTTTGAGAAGTTGTCGCAAAATTGTCTTTGACCGTCAGGACAAGGTTTCAAGAAATGCAACTGCCTTAAAAAATGCGTAACAAAGAAGTGCACTTGCAAGTCATCAGGATTACTTTGTAATTCTAAATGCCATGATAGCTCTCCATGTTGTAACAAGTAAAATCCTTTTTTTTACTTTTATTAAATGACAATGAATACCAAATGATTAGAAAAAATACTGTGATTACTGATTAGCTTAGCCAACGTAAATCTACTATCTGCACAGCTTTAG